CCCTCCCCTCCCGCGCTAGCCTAAGGGCCACCTTAGCAAAGCGCATCCCAGGCTGCATAGCCGCACTACCCTACCCAACCATACCACACATAAACATGACACTACCCCCGGGGTTTACACAGACGAGCCGGCGAAGCAAGAAGAGCGCCAGAAGAAAGGGCCCTAGCCGGCGGGGCCCAGCCAGGACAAAAGGAGGTCCCACAAAGCGCCTACACCGGCCGCATTTGCGGTCGGGGTAGACGACGGATGGGGTCCACCTACGAAGGCTGTCCAGGCCTACACGAGATGAGTCAGGATAAAGAGGGATAATCCCCCTCGATCCCAAATCATTGAGGCCAATTTCTAGCCATGGAATAATGGCGAATTGGTCTCCGCTCTATGGTAGCGACGTTCCTCAGTCGCGTCATTTTGGAGCCGTATTTTACAAGAGCGATCGCCGAAGTAACGCGATTCACCGGCGATCGTTATTCACATCTCTAAGCAGCACCTCTTTTGACCTCGTTCGCGTAGCATAAGGAAACGAACTACACTAGCTGTGTATTTTAAAATCCATATTAATATTTATTTTAAATATACAGATTGTTTCAGTTTATGGTGTACTCATTAACATAATAAGTAAAAAACAGATATAGTCGATATCGTTTTACAAAAAGCTCATTTGGCAAATGAACTTCTACGGTTGTATGGTACTTTCGAACAATCTTGTTACAACTAAATACTAAGATGTTTGAACGTTCATTAATTGATTAAGTTTCAAATTTGTATATGCAGTTTCAAGTTAACAGGCGTACATTTGGATTGTACATTGGACGTCTTTGTGTGATAACTTATGTCTTTTCAAATGATTTTTAAGTTTAGTTTCATAACCACATACATCGCATTTGTAAATGCGAATTTCCGAAGGGTTTTGCATTTACAACTTCAGCAGGATTTTTATAACTTTGATCATTATATAAAACTTCCCCAGGAATCCTAGAAGTTCCCTTTTTCTTTTGAACAAACGACCAAAAAAATTGAGGATTTGTAGAAATTGCAGATTCAACATCTCTAATATAGTTAGAATATAGCATATCGATTTGATTTTTAATTATCCTACGTAGCCGTTTAAATTCTTGATAAAACCAATTATTTTTTATCTTTTTTCTTTTTATATTTATCAAAAAACCTAGCCTTCGACTTAATGTTTTTAATGATACTGGAATCAAACCACGGCGGATATTTATGCTTAAAGTTTTTGTAGGCAGGTACATGAGCGTCGCAAATTGTATACAATAGACTATAAAAATTATCAACAGCTAAATTAACATTATTAAATTCTGACAAGAAAGACCAATCAACACGAAGAAATGAATTATAAAGCGATATATAGTCGGCTTTTTTAAAATTATCTTTTTTTATCTATATTGGGAGCAAATTGCGGTAAATTGTCTCTGACATTATGAAAATTCATAGATAGTGCTGGATGGGAAACATCCTCTCGTACAAATGGGGCATTGTCTCTTTGGACATCACATGCTAAATTACTAACTATTAAATCCAATAATCTACCCATATCATTTTGAATATTGCTAAACTGGCTAAAACTAAACACTTCAATAAAATTGCAAACAATTACAGATTTCCTATCAACTGAATAACAACTCACAAAATTAGAAATGTTAAAGTCCCCCGCAATTATAACATTGGAATCCTGAAAAAACTCAAATTGTTCAAGTGAATCAAAAAATAACTCAAAATCATTTACGGAAATGGATGGGGGGATATATAAATTAACAATCGTGAAAGATTTATGACCAATAAAACACTTAATAGCTAATAAATCTATAAAAGGGAAATTAATATCAAAATATGACACATCCAAAACTTGGGATCGTATGCAGTTTCTTAGTGCGATCAAAACACCACCACCACTACTTTGGCCAACAATATGATATTTACGATCCTTTCTGTGTACTACATAAGAGTCAGCAAACAGTTCATTACTAAGTACATCACTATGAAGCCAGGTTTCAGTCATAAAAATAATGTCATATTCACCCAAAGTCGATGTAGACAAAACCTCACACACCTTAGTATTAAGGCCCCGAACATTTTGGTAATAACACAAAAAGTTTGAATTATCATCTGTAGCAACAGACCTGCTGGGCTTCTTCAGTTTAACGAAACAATTTTTGGAATACCTTTAACATTCCTAATTCCAATATCTGATTCACCACTTTCCTGACGCCTCACCAACTCCTTTTTTACATCCTTGTAATATTCAATTTGACGGGGAGTACGATCAAACGAACAGTATATCTTCCGGAAAGACCTATTTTTCTTCAAAACTGCAGATTTCATAATGTAATTTTTTACCAACTTCTCATCTTCAAGGAACAACTTAATTGGACGGCATTTATTATTATTATAGACACCCAATCTTTTGCAGTTAAACACAGGGACATTATTATCAGGAATAATACATTTAAGAATTTTGTTAATGTCGTTGCGTTCATTTTCTAACACATCAGCTGCTGTTGAGTCTTGATTCTTCTCAGGGACTCCAAAAATAACCATATTCCCTTTACGCAACTTTCTTTGGTCGATTTCATTGATAATTTCATCAATTTCAATCAATTGTGATCTGACCACAGATGCAGAATTATTAGATTTAAGATCCTGAATATCCTTCTGAAGACTCAAAATAAGAGCTTTCAGATCCTTCAAGTCATTACCTAACGACCTGCAACCACCACACGTCCAATCGCAACCTTTACTAGTATCAGCTAGCATATGAAGCTCTTCCATAGTAATATTCACACATGAATGTTTGTAAAACTTATTGCAGACACAACATTTGATCATTAGGTTGTATTTAAAAGACTTGTTGCAGCAAGCACAAATAGCCGTACTGGGTGGAGTTTTAAGTGATACGCCACTGGTCAAGAAGACACGACAAGAGTAACAAGAAATAATAGGTTAGATTGCAATAAACTGCAGAATCTTCACCTAGAATAAACTATCCTTGACCAATTTATGCACTACACAGGTCATATACACTAACCACAATTATTTATCAAAACAAACAAAGTAAATTACTTAAATTTTCACAAATACGGAGATGCCTCCAATACCAACACACTCGATCAAGTAAACTGAACTCAATTTGAGCAAGACTGGCTTTGGCAATTAGTACACGCTGGAGAACACAGTAACTCTACTTTTCTACAGCCACATTTAGCACTACAACCTTTTTTGTAATTGCAAAAAATAGTGTTTAGGAGTTTTTCCGGAGCAGGTGAGAGTAAAGTTTGAATCGGTTCCAAAGTATTATGTGTTAATGTCCAATCCCAGTCTTCTGGGTTCAGTTGATTGCCTAGCCATGTCTGAACTTGATAGTATACTCGATACAAGTGTTGATTAGCAGAAGCTGATGTTGGAGGAAGACAAGATAGTTGTACTTGTTTCTTGTTTCGTGTATTTTTTACAAAAGTTTTTACAATANGAAAGGGATTCTTTCCAGGTAGCCTTAATAAAGGCAGGTAGAATTTGCTCCTTGCACTACACTTTCACAAAACACGTGTGCTCTGGTCGGCTGCCCGCTAGGAACTGGACCTGCAACCACCACACGTCCAATCACAACCTTTACTAGTATCAGCTAGCATATGAAGCTCTTCCATAGTAATATTCACACATGAATGTTTGTAAAACTTATTGCAGACACAACATTTGATCATTAGGTTGTATTTAAAAGACTTGTTGCAGCAAGCACAAATAGCCGTACTGGGTGGAGTTTTAAGTGATACGCCACTGGTCAAGAAGACACGACAGGAATAACAAGAAATAATAGGTTAGATTGCAAGAAACTGCAGAATCTTCACCTAAAATAAACTATCCTTGACGAATTTATGCACTACACAGGTCATATGCACTAACCACAATTATTTATCAAAACAAATAAAGTAAATTACTTAAATTTCCACATACACGGAGATGCCTCCAATACCAACACACTCGATTCTCGACAGATGATGGTAATGGACGGGAAAGGACACAACATTTTTTAGACAGCGAAGAAAACATCATAAACCTCGTTGAGGAAGACCCGAGGCGCAGTACTCGCGACATTGTCCGAGAAGTGGGTGTATCTAACAATACCATGTGGTGTATACTACTGGAACAATTATTACACCCTTATGTTATACAAAGGGTTCAGGCAGTAAATAACAATGATTTTCAGCCACGTGTGGAATTTTGCCAGTGATTTCTACATCAAGTAGCACAAGATCTGGATTTTACAAGGAAAGTGCAGAGGTACAGCTGGCTGCCGCACCAGGGACGGCTTTAAATTTGTTTAAACCTAAGGATGAAAAAAAAATTTACATTATTCTGCTACAGCTAGTCCGTTCCTGGCAAACCAAATAAGCCAAATTGTTTTCGTGGGTTAATTTTTAAGGAGTCTTATCCGTTGTCCATCGTATTAAAAAATATTTAAATTACACGAACTATTTTGGAACTCATTAAAAAAGTCGATTTTCAGGGGCGTTCTTTAGGGGCCCGTATCTCCGCAGCGGGACCCTCTGGGGAAAATTTGTATGGACTGTCGTGGACGCGAATTTCAGAGGCTGTGACGTCACCGATTAGTTTCCCGTCCGCCTGCTTTGAGTTGGGCACCGGGCANTAGTACACGCTGGAGAACACAGTAACCATACTCTTCTACAGCCACATTTAGCACTACAACCTTTCTTGCAATTGCAGAAAATAGTGTTTAGGAGTTTTTCCGGAGCAGGTGAGAGTAAAGTTTGAATCGGTTCCAAAGTATTATGTGTTAATGTCCAATCCCAGTCTTCTGGGTTCAGTTGATTGCCTAGCCATGTCTGAACTTGATAGTATACTCGATACAAGTGTTGATTAGCAGAAGCTGATGTTGGAGGAAGACAAGATAGTTGTACTTGTTTCTTGTTTCGTGTATTTTTTACAAAAGTTTTTACAATAGAGAAGCCAGATTTATACATATAAGAGACACAAATAGGCATTTTTACTTGTATTAAGTGCCTGACTATGTATATAAGTGGCATATACAGGGTCGAAAAGTCCCCATGGTTCATCGGCCGTTACGTGAGAGCGATAGAGAAAGTCATAGAAATCCGTGCGATAGAGAAGGATGGCTATAATGAAGGCGTCTCATAGTCACCGCCCGTTTCGCGCTTCCACAAATAAGATCCACTTCCACTTGTAATTTAGCGACCGGTGGTCATCTTTGTTTTCGTCGTTTGCCTTTTTTGTAATAGATCTCACTACTTATACAATTCCTTCTTCGGTATTACGATATGTTAATACATTAATACAGAGAGATCGAGAATGATTGACCGGATTCTGAACGTACCCTGTCTCAATTGCTATCAAAACTGATTTCCGTTTGCTAAAATTACTTTTTTTTCCGTGCAATTTCATGGTGTTCTGTGGCGATTTCACAATTTGACGTTCTGTTCATTGGCGCACGGATTTTTTGGCTTGAATATTATTTTGTAGATTTTGTTGTTACCTGATATATTTTGCGACATTATAAAACAGTATTTTTCAATACTACAGTTAGAGTAGGTGGATATTATACGTGAGTAATTAATTTATTGCGTATGTTGTTCTCTAACCTAATCGGTTTTTTAATTTAGGTTAACATGGCATTTTCATTAGAACATGATAAATTTCTTCTGGAGGCCTATTTTCGTAGTGGACAAAACAATGGTAATGGTTGGAAATATTCGATGAATTCGTGTCATTTACAATTTCAAGAACAATTTCCAAATGATGAAATTGATTATGAAATTTTTTCGAGACACGTGAAGAGATTAGTGGAACGCTTCCATAACACTGGAAGTGTTTGTAGAGGAAAATCTCCAGGCAGAAAGTCTATTCTTACAGAGGAAGTCTTGGAAGATGTTGAAAACCGCTTACGAGCTAGTCCAACCAAATCACTACGTCGGTTATCTGCTCAAACAGGTACTTAATAACAAATATTTATTCTAAAATTTGTATCATTATTCCTAAATTGTTTATAGGAATATCATATGGATCATGCCATAAAGCAGTAAAGAAGTTGCATTTTCATCCTTATAAAGTTAGTGTTGTGCAGGAACTACTTCCGTTAGATTTTGGAAAACGTGTGCAATACTGTAATTGGTTTAACGAAAATCTGAATGACGACGATATTCTAGATCTAACATTTTTTTCTGATGAAGCGTGGTTTCATTTAAGTGGGTACGTAAACTCCCAAAATTATCGCTCTTGGAACACA